AAAGCTTAATTCTGGAGTGTACCCATTGAAAAGAATGTCTTATTTGTGCAATTTAGATGCACTAAAAAAATATATTTTGCCCATATTCATTCTCACATAAACTATGGCATTGGACTATATAGGACAACTACGATTAAAAATTTAAATAAAATTCCAATCATGCAAGAAAAAGCCATTAGAACCATGTTACACCTTAAAAAAATGAATCAGTTAAATCTCACTTTAAAAATCTAAATATTTTAACAGTTTTTGCAGCGTATACTTTTAAAATAGCATGTATAGCTAAAAGAGACAGCCTAAAATATGAGCCAGTTGTGCCACATAGTTACAATACAAGACATAAAAAGGATATTGTAACTTCAATCTATAAGCTGGAATTCCAAAAAAAGAACCCGACTTTTGCTAGATCACTAATTCTAAGGAAATTGCCTGCCTCTATAAAGGAGGAATCAAATTATAAATCATTTAAATCTAAATTAAAAAAATATTTATACAATGGAGGAACTCATTGAATAAATATTCACACTTAAAATGTATTTATATCCAAGCTAGTTTAGTACTTTATACTTGACACTATTTTTGTACCCATGTACATGTAAGGAAAATAAAGATGTTTTGATTTGATTTGATTTGAGTTGATAAAAAAGTCTATAGCAGTACCCGACACATCTGCAAAGATTGTGCTATTGAAAAATTACTGCTTTTGCCTTGATCGCGGAAGATGACGATAATGTCTACACAACTGCGTGAGACGTTCATGATTTAGCTACGATTGCGGATGATGATGATAATGTTTCCATTACTGATCATACTGGTTGGCGAACTCATTCAAGTTTACCTTCTTACAAGATGGATATTCATATGACCATGACGTAAGAAGTCATTAATAATCTTGTAAAAAGTCATTAATAAGCTTGTATTAATGACCATGATATTAATATTCAATCCAAAGTTAGGCCTAATTGAAATCGTAAAAAATTACTCAAGTTATCATATTCACGGACGTATCAATCAATCAATAAAATCTTTATTCAATATTAGTACTCTGTACATAGAATGGTGTCAATATTAATTAATACTAAGATACATTATAACTAAGATTGGTTAATACTAAGGCTGTCAAAACAAAAGATATAGTTATATGCATGAAAAGAAAAACAGAACTAAAAACTTTCTTTACACATAATTTGTACATGGGAATTCGGTGAAAGAATATAATGTTAAATCAATAAGAAATTTTTTTAGTTGATTTTTGAATTTATTAATATTTTTTTTCAGATTTAATGGCTTTTGGTAACATATTATAAAATTTTGATCCCATATACATTGGCTTTTTTTCATAAAATCCAAGTTTATGTTTGTCAATGCCAATTCTATTCCTGAATCTTGTATTATAATTATGAGTATCTCCAACAAAATGAAGTTGGTCCTGACGGTTTTTCACAGAAATTATAGTTTCATAAATGTACATTGCATATACAGTCATGATACCAATTTTAGAAAAAAAGAGTTTTACCGATTCATTATAATTTAATTTAAATATAATCTGAATTGATTGTTCCTGAATTTTTAGTATTTTGTTCAAATTTTGAATGGAAGTTGCCCCATATACTGAAAGACCAAAGGCGATATTTGAATGAACATAGGCGAAATACACTATTTTCAGAGTCTCTGTTGAACAAATTTTTGAGAGCCTCCTTAGTGCATATACCCCAGAGTTTAATTTAGAAACTAGATTATTGACATGGCTGTTCCAAGACAAGTTGCTGTCTATAGTTAATCCTAAAAATTTAGATTCATACACCTTCTCTAATTCAGTTTCATTTAGAATGATGGTAGGTGACAGCATATTTTTATTATTTTGATAAGTTTTGAATTCAATGAAATTTGTTTTAGCAGAGTTTAGTACTTAACTATTATTTTGTAAAAACTGATTTAAAAGAGCCAGGTTTGAAAATGATGACAACTCAACCTCCTTAATAGAGTGCCCATTTATTTGAAGATTAGCGTCATCAGCATAAAGACATAAGCTATAATTATTATGTAATTTTGGCATGTCTTTTATGTAGCATCGTCTTCCATGATCGTAGCAAAATCTTGAATACTTCCCGCAGTCATGGAAGAAACATTATCTACCGTGATTGCAAATGTAACCACACCTATGACATCAACAGATAGCAACATCATCGCCCCCCACATTCACGGTCCAATCTAATATCACGGACTAATATCTCCCGCAACCCGTCGGTGGTGACGGGGAAATAATTTTTTCCACAATCGCGGCAAAATCCTAGATATATCTCTCGCTGATAAAGAAACGTCATTATCGTATTCCGCAATCACAGCCAAATATTGAACATCTCCTGTGGCCGTGGAGACATCGTAATCGTCACCTGCGGGGAAATGTTCTCGTCAAAATCCGGGATGGCGGCAAAAGCGTAGGCCTTATCTTTCAATTTTGTAAGCATGATCCTCGCGGAATAAAAGCTTTTACTTTTAATTGGATTTATTGTATCGAGTATTGAGAAAAACGGCTTGAGCTTGATTTTCTTACTTGTGCTTGATCTCTCAAGCTTGTAGGCCAGGCTCTGCTCGGCTCGAAAATCAACATTATATTATAAAAATCAACCATTTTCAAAGCAAACCAATTTTGAACAGATCTGATTTGGCCTGAGGCTTCTATAAGCCTTATACTTACCTATGTAAGTAACAGAATCGAAGTAAACAAATCTTAAGTGCGAAGTAAACAAATCTAAAGGGCAGCCTCCTAATAGTAAGAAATGAAATGAAAATCCTCCTTAGCATCAATGAAAGAATGGAATTATTTATTAGCTAGTGCCCTAGCCACCTAGGTTAATTTGCCGATCTTTGATCGTAAAAAAATTGTCAAGTTAATTTAGTTGAATCAGCATAGAGGGCCCTCTCTGGTGTGACACGCTGGTAGCTAAGAAGATTAACATTAATGCTATAAACTCCTAGGCCGGAGGCCACATTGGTCATAAATACGGCCCTATTATAGCGCCTTCACACAGTCCACGGGGACAGTTGATGCAACCTGCATGACAATTCCTTACTAAGTTGGTAGAGAATTTATATCGATCGGTCAAGTAATAGTGTCAGTTTACCTGTTGTAAACTACTTGTCCTAGTGCTCTTGCTGGTTTGAACAAATTTTTGTCATAAAAACATGTATGTTAATTCTCATATAAATATTGTTATTATAGGGGACCCGTGTGGCTGAGCCTGTCGCTTGCCTGTGTCGCGGTAAAATTTACCAAAAATCCCGGTCAAGGCTCACGGGCCCCCCTAGCTCGCAGGCCCTCCCGCACCGCGGGCCCGCTATCGCCACCACTGGTTCCTTAGAAACAGCTGTTAATTAATAGCCCATACAGCCAATGGCAACTAAGGAACCAACAATTTATAGTGGAATCTGAACCACATTTTTGCCTTGTAATTTACAAATAGGTTTAATTATCAGGATAGTACTGCGGATCGTCATAGTACTCAATAGTGCGGACGTTAATCCACAACCAGGGAGTATCTCGTCTAATAGCTACTTCCTATAGGGAAATTCGCTAAAATGGCAAGATATACCCACAACCCGTCTATGCAGTAACATTGAGTATTAAGTCAAGAATGAAAAGTGGCTGGGTTATTTATTAACCCTAGAAGCAATAGGCCATTTATGCCATAAATGTCAAGGGGTTTGTAAGGTGTTGATCCTCATATAAGTGCTATTTTTAGCCAAAATATTTGTTACTAAGTTGACACCATCATAATTATGTACTCCAATTATGTACTGTATAATTTTAATCACACAAAATTATGAATATTTTACCCAATTACTTGCAACTTCCACATTCTGCTGCCTTTTGAGTGATATTATTGATTAAATAGTTAAATAATTGTAGAAATTTAATTCTTTTTTTTTAGGACATATTCAAAATACTTCAAAGATAAAAATAACAACTTCTAAATTCAAGAAAAATATGCAGAACTTAATGCCAAAGAGAAAAATGTATAATACATCCACACTTTTTATCAAAGAGCATTTTAATTGTGAAGAAAAATGTTTGCATATGCCAAAATTTAGGCCTAGTCTTAATTTGTATAACTTATTTCAATAAAAAACCTTGCAATCAATACAAAAACAACCACAATCACGCACACATTATACAATTACACATGCACTAATAGCCTAATAACTTACTTCAATATAAATAACCATTAACAAAATATGTTAAACGGAAACATTACCATAAACAAATTTGGTAGAATATGGACAATCTGTAGACAACAGCCGACTAGCAACAATACAAAATGCCCATAGAAATTCTAAGCTTACAGGTACGATCTCAACCAATGGATATGTAAATGCCTTATATATATAGAAAAAAAATCCTGCTTTATTACTGTACAAAAATTATTGAAATCCATTAAGAGTACGTTTCAATTTACAGCTGTTTTATTGCCACAATACTACAATGTGGATCGCGATGTTAGCACTTGAAACGGGACAAAAGAGTGGCGATTGCGACTTATAACACTCCTAACTTTAAACAATATTTTTCCTCTAAAACAACATTATATAGTAGGTTCACACAATTAATTTATGTTTTACCAAGATATCTTAACACTGAAAAAACTATGTGTACACAGCAATAAGTGTGATAATGTCACGATTCCAGTCATTACTGAGCGTAACACTACAGTGGCATGAACCAGCTGAAAAAATTACTGTACAAACTCCAAAAAGTTTATCTACAGAATCGACAGAAATTCAATTACTCCCTGTCGACAAAATTTATGTATCACCTCTCCGGGAAGAGTTTAAGATACAAAAGATTCTTGGGTGAAATTTTCTTGGTGTATTAGTTGATCACCTGATCTTACAGGATGGTAGGCAGGTATGATGGAGTATTCATGCATGAAACATCAGTACAAATTACAAAATTTTACCACCCTTGAAAGAAAATTCAAACGTAAATCATAATTTCTTACCGGACTCCATTGCTCGTATAGCCTTAGCCTTGGCCAGCTCTAGCGCCGTGACCCATCTTTGTCTCTCCACCTCATTGGCTGCTCTGATATGGAATGTTTGAGTGCCACCATTAGATATGACAAAGGTACAAGAGTCCACCGTGTGAATCAAAGCGCCATGCAGGCTGATGGTGCCTCGACATGTGTGCGCCATCTCTGCCTGATTCCTGGAATAAAATCCACTGTAAGTTAGCCTGGGCTAGATATGACTCTAATAGGCTGGTTACATTGTCTCACAGTTCCTTTGCATAATCATTTGTTATCATTTACAACTATTGTAGCATATCAAGAGTTGCAATAAAAAATACAATTTATCTGTCTAAACTACATTAAAAATAGGGGACTCAACACAATACAGCAATGGACACAAAATGTGATAGCCTTTTATCATACAATTGAAACTAGGTAGGCCTAAGCCTATCACGGACAACATCACATCATTACCCGAGTAAAAAGCAAGGTGAGCATGTTAGTCCAATATTTTTATATTGCTAAATGACAGCGAGTTACAGTAAAAGCAAACAAAATTTTGCATAGATACTAACCTAAGCATTTTTAACTAAATGCTTAGTTCCAAAGGTTAACCAAATACCTACGGATATACTAAGTGATAGGTAAGCTAAGCGTTCACACACAGCTTCTTTGATCCGCAGTAGGCCTATGTTTCTTATTTTTGACTAGGCCTGTCAAATGATAAAAATATAGTTTTATTGTGTACAGTCGTGATCGTTACTACAATTTATTTCCAAATGAATTGCAGGAAACCGTTTTTAGTAACTTCTTTACTATAGCCACTGAAAAAAATAACCGCTCCTCATAATGGTCTTATAAGGGTGCTGTAGGCTACTTTTTGGTTCTGGTCCCGGCAGGTTTCTCCAAATGGATCTTAAAAAGATAAAAGGAAGTGTTCAATTTAAGATTGCTCCCAGATACCAAGTTTGTTTATTGGTGATTTGATAGAACTTCTTCAAAAACTTTAACAAAAGCAATAATAATAAAACTTTGATGACTTTGGACCACTTTCCCCTAAAAGCGTTTGAATTGACTTCTTTCAAAATGCCACTGACGTGGGCACAAGAAAAAAAGAGTGCCTGCGTATCACTCACCAGTGTATTCACTACGTATCTCCATCATATAAATGAGACTAGGCCTACATACTAAAGGATGTTCATTTAATATAGTGCTAAGCAGAGAATACGTATGAAATAGGCTAGGCTAGCCTACCAGAGTAACTATCAAACATAGAGAATGATAGCCAAATTGATAGGTCAATTATTATTAAATAATAATCGGTCATGTCACGATTACAGCAATGTTAGAGAAAATGAAATTACCTGTAATAAGAGAGTAATCCATTTGACAGAACAAACCATCTTCTTTGATAACCTTTAATGTAATTGGTCCACTTCATAAGCCAACCTTTCATTTCAACATCTTGTTTAGGCCTAATTTCTGCCATGGCTAGTTATTCATGAAAAATATGCAAATAAATTAAATTCCTAACTCTTTTTTAAAAGTAAGACATTGTACAATAAACACATCATTACGGACTAGAATGGATTATTTTTTATTAATTAACTGCTAGTTCTAGTCCACCTGAGCAGTGAGCAACCTGGACTTATTAGCAACAGCAGTAGGTGACAGTGGTGTGGTGACAGGCCAGCAGAAAAGCAGACAACAATCAACAACAATATCATCATCTGTAATTTTTTTAAACTTTTTTAGGAAAAAAGAGGCAGGCATTAAACGTTCTCACTCAACACAAAATACGTCATGGCCTTTAAAAACCATTGAAGAAAGGACATTTTTAATCTATGATCAAACACTGGCACGAAGTTATTATATGTTATAGTCATTATATAATTACCTGCCGCAAATTACGAAGACCAGCTATACCGTATCGGTTGCATCAAAGTGAAACAAAATATAAATCTACAAAAATATCACTGATACTTTCTTATTTTATGAAAAATATATGTTCAATTAATTACATATAAGATATGGTGGTGGACCAACAATTACACCTTACACTTATTGCTTTGCCCTTTGAAATATTCATCAAACCTTGAAACCTATAGCATGGTTTGATTTTAGCGAATTTCCCATGTAGGGAATAAGCTATTACATTACCGTAGTACTCATAGTAAGACCTGGACCCGGGACCGATTTGCTTTTTCGTTCTGAGGTCCCTCTAGAGGCCAAAAACACCATCTGTTCGAAAAGATTAAGATATATATATATGTGTGTGTGTGTGTGTGAACATATTTTGATAAAATTTGGAGAATGCATACTAAACTATTTATTACAATTTCAAATACCCCCGCCGCAGTAAACCTGCAGACTAAGCGAATTTCCATTTGCCTGATTGGATTTACACTGAAATGTCTCCTTAAAAATATCACATTTATTCCCTATTTAAATAACATTAGTTTAACGGGTACTTAGGTTTGCTACAACAGGGAGGGTAAAAAGGTGTTTTTTGTAAAATGTTAGTAGTTTAGTATGAAATGAATACATTTTCCAAATTTGATCAAGATATGATCATAAACAAGCAAACTACAACAACTCATTCTCTATAAGAATAACATGGGAATTTTAAATTTACAGTTTTTTGGAATTTTCTCCGTAACTATTAGGCGCATAATAACGCTTCATTATACTAAATTATTTGTTTTTTTTAAGCTCTACAAAATGGTTTGGAAAGAAAATGGTAAATTTTATGTTTTTAGGGTAAAAAATGGGAAAAACCAATTTTTGCCCCATAAACCCCTGTTCCCATAGTCCGATCATGCTGGTTCGCGAACTCGTTCGAATAAACGTAGGTTTACACGTTTGTACCAAATTTCATCAAAATCGGATGATTTTTGCTTGAGTTATCACGCTAATGGACACATATATAAATATAAATAACACATACATAAAAATAAACATGCAAGAAAATAATAAATATGAAATGAAATGAAATGAAATGAAATGAAATAATATTTTATTTCCCATTAATTATTTACAGACAAGTACATTGTATTTTTTTTCTTTTCTTAAATATGAAACAGCAAAATATTACTAACTAGCTAACAAAACAAAAATTATATACTGTAGAAATAAGTAAATAAAAGTGTTAAAAAAAAAAAAATACATTCTATAAGAAAGGAAAAAGTCTACATAGGCAGGGCCTGTGCGTAGACTGAGTTGCGAAAAGATTAATTTAAATGGGAAGTAAAAAATATATAGGAGAAAAAAAAAATCGTATAATTTAAACCTTTTTTTTTGTCTTGCTTGAAGCTGAATTTTTAGTGTTCTGGGATAAATTGACGGTAAAAAAAAAAAAAAAAAACTCTTTGTGCAAACAGAGGTAATTTATAATATCTGGTGAAGATTGAAGAGGAGAGGTGGGGTGTAGTGTATTAGTCAGTCAGTGAAAGTGGTGTATCAGTGATTGTGTAGGGTCAACGGTCAGGTCCGCCCAACGCGATAACGGCCTCGGTGTCCTCTGTACTCAGACCAACAAGCCACCCCACAACATGCTTCTTAAATAGAGAGAGAGAGGGTGAATTTAGAATGTTGACATTTTGATATCTGTTACACATGTTACGATAAATGATTTGGGTTAAGTGAAAGCAATTCGTATTTGAAAATGATTTGAAAGTTTGTGGAACACTTACACCAACATTTCGAGAAAAGCGCGTATTGTGGGGATGAGTAATTTTTACAAAAATATTATCAAAGTTTTTGTACATGTGAACTAAAATAAATTTTAAAAATAACTGCCTGACTGTCAAAACTCCCGATTCTACAAAAAGATCGTCAGTTGAATATCTAAAGTGTTTTTTAAAAGCAACTTTAAGTATTGTTTTCTGCACTACAAAAACAGGTTGCAAGATAGTTTTGTAAGCACCACCAAAAGCAATAATTCCAAAAGACAACAATGATTGAACATATGCATAGTATGCTATTTTAATTTCTTGCTCTTCGAGAATATCACTAAGTTGCCTAAATGCATAAATATATTTACGTAATTTATTTTTTAGGTATTCAACATGTTCCGACCATTTCATCTTTGAATCAAAAACAATACCAAGATATTTGTATGAATCAACTTTTTCAATTTTGCTACAAAAACAAGAGTTATTGAAATGATTTCCACAGACATGAATAGTTAGGTTATCAAGTTTGTATTCGGTTATCTTGCGTAATGAAATTGGCATAAATTTTGTTTTAGATATATTAAGGGACAATACATTTTGATCAAGCCATTTTTTTAGTAAACAGAGGTCTGATTCTGCCTTGTTTTTAACCTCCTCCCAGGATGCTCCGGTTACAAATATTAGAGTATCATCAGCAAATAATGTTAATTTTCCTTCTGTTTGAATTTTAGAAATATTATTAATATAAATGAGGAATAAAACAGGACCAAGGGTCGAACCCTGGACTACACCATACTCCACTGGCAATACATCGCTTGCCACTTCACCAAGTGCGACAGTTTGCAGCCTATCAGAGAGGTAGCTGCTGAACCAAGCGAGCGAGGTGCCACGCACCCCGACAAGCTCAAGTTTACGCAACAATCTACTTCTGTCCACTGAGTCAAAAGCTTTTTTCAAGTCTAAGAAAATTAACATGCTTCGTTTGTTGCCATAAATTGCCTCGTTAATGTATTTATTAATATCAAATAAAGCATCAGATATGTTTTTGTCACTTCTGAAACCATACTGATTTTCACTTAAAATATTGCACTGGTGGAGGTAAAAAACAAGTTGGTCTTTGGCAATTTTCTCTAAAAGCTTAGCAATATATATACATGAATTTAAACAGATGGTGTTTTTGGTCTCTAGGGACCTCAAAACGAAAAAGTAAATCGGTCCCGTGTCCAGGTCTTACCATGAGTACTACGGTAATAGCTTATTCCCTATATGGGAAATTCGCTAAAAAGAACACTTTTTAACCCTCCCTGTTGCAGCAAACCAAAGTATACTCCTTAATCTAATGCTATTTAAATAGGGAATACGGGGGTAAATGTAATATATGGAGATTTTAGGGTAAATCCAATCAGGTAAATGGAAATTTGCTTAGTCTGCCGGTTTGCTGTGGCGAGGGTACAGTATTTATTCATGTATTCGGGTCAGTGCTAGTTTTTATAACTTCTATTTTTAGAATATTGAGTCAAGTTGGTGTGGATAAGTACCTACCTACATCTTTATTAAACAAGGGTATATGTTAGGCATCAGTTAAGGCACATTTACTCTCAGTCATATACATAGTATGTAGGGAAAATTTCTAATTTCTAACCCATCAACCAACTTGAAATTCAGGTGAAATTACGAAATACGCCTATAAAGGTTATATAGTTGTGCCTATCTGCCAGTGGCACTTATTAACTTTTTTAATGGTCCAAACTCTGGTCTTGTTACTATATCTATTGTCAACCTGTTGTAAAAAAGCATCAATAATTAATTAATTGATAGCCCAATAATGACAAATGGAATCAGGGTCTGGTAACTGCAGTATATCTTACTTATTACGTAACCAGCGACAGCGACCTTTAAATTTGAGTCCTTAAACCACTCGCTACCCATAGACAATGAAATATATGGTCCTCAAGTAAGTACCAAAAATATATTGAATCTGTTGAATTGATCAAAATAAAACGAAAATAAAGAATATTTTTCTGAAAACGATTCTTAGTGAGATAACTAAGAGTAATTTATAAATAATTATTACAGAATTTAATAATGAAGAAACCGCTGCAAACAGTTTACACCCACAATTTGCATAGTATATTTTTTATCTTGTACAAAATTATTCTTTTTGCTGAGTCATAACCACACTATTAGTCACATACAGCAGTTTAAAAATATAAAAAACAGCTTTAATGCCTTTAACTGTTCAAAATCAAACATGTACTGTAATTTATTATAGGTACCAAAAATAGTCAAATAAAAACACACCCATTCATTATTACCTTAACTTTAAAACTTTGAATGCCATACCCACATGGAGGCAGAGCCTTGGGGGATTTTTGTTTTGAGAAGGAGAAATGAAAAAACATTCCCAGGCATATAGTATGATTTTGATTTATTCGTATAGAGTTTGGCAATGTAAATGACAGACAGCCACTCACTGGTGTTTTTATACAAGAGTACAGTAACAGATTGAATTTAACTGCCCTCTATGAAACCTAAAATTTCACACTAAAATAGAGAAAGCTAAATGTTTGTAAAGCTTATGAAAATCCCCTATATAGAACATTTTAAAAAACAAATGGGGATGATGTGTTTTTTTGTAAAGGCTTATCACCGTAAAGGAAAAGTTTGAAAGACATTAACATTAAAATTGTCAATGTCTGTAATGCTTTGAAACAAAGATAAAACTAAAAGTGATGAGATTAATGCAGATTTACCAACAACAAATTTTTGGCGTTCAAATTTTCAAACAGCACACAAACATTAATCTAGACCCTTAATTTAGAGAGCCGTTTTACAGTAGTTTTTAGAAAGTGGATAGGTACGACACAGTTACTTACAGTAAGTTAAGAACGTTTAATTTGCAGGTGTATATTAAGCACATAACAACTGTTCATTATTTAAGTTTTTGTTTTTCTCACTAAAGGTGCTTCATTCACCAGCGGTACTTAAATGGACTCCGAATTCCACTGCCTTTCTTACATGAATATTATTTCATTTAATCCTAGACTTACATTAACAATTGATACATTTTGGAACCTCAAGTAGATCAGGTAGATTACTGATTACTCCAATGTATTTTTGAACACACCAACAATTTTTCCTGACAACAATCAGTTAACTAAAGAGATAATTCTTTTCATAATAGTATTGTAAATAACACACAATATGACTAAAAAGTATCACTTTGGTGTGAGAACATGTCAAACCTATGGTTTACGTTTTTTTTAAAATCAAATAAGACGTAAACAAAAAATAAAATGATCGTATAATAATTTAGCTTTGCAATATATTACTCCAAAAATAACGGTAATATTTGATTTAGAGTATTTTTGGCAGGAAAGGATGAGTATATAAATACAAACTTCTGTCAGAAAATGACAAATTTCTTTACGCATTATAAAAGAAGTCTGAAATTGTTTGCCCAAATAATCTTTATATTCAGTTACTTTTACCAATGTTTTTAAAAGTTTTGCTTCCTATTATATTTTAGAGTAGTTTGTCTGCCTGTAAATAAGATGAAGTGGAATAATATTCTCAATTATTGAAGGAAAGTATATTAAAATTCCCTTTCATCATTAGCTACAGTATGTACAATATTTTTGTTGGCAGTATCAATCAATAGTGTCTAGCAAAGTAGAAACCCAGAATAGTTTTTTATACAGAAATTAATTTAATAGTTAACCTACATGTCGGATGCAATGTTACTCTGCAATAAAACTAAAAATGACAGAGTGGTGGTGAATACAGTGAATGGGTCTTACCCATGACTCAGTTGTATTTATTTTTGGCACATGAGGAAGTACTATCTAGCTAGCCACTGCTGTGCTTCTTTAGCTCACCTTTTATGGTACAACTGTGGAACAGTAGTTGATCAATGTACATTACTAACATACTACTTTGTCAGAAGATACTCATAGTTGTAAAATGTCTTGGAAATTGCTACACCCCCCCCCCCCCACACACACACAAGATTAGAATAACTTTTTATGTTTGATTGGAAAGGGCTAATTTCCTGAGAATTAAGGAGACAAAAGGACAGGATAAGCAGGCGTAACTTAAAAATTGTAGGCATCTTACTTCACTAAAATAACATAAAAGAAACACTGAATACTGTATTTCAAAGCCACTGGCCCCTTTCTCAACATCGAGAGTCACATTACAAATATTCAGTGTTTCTTTGGTGAAGTGGGATGCCTACAATTTTTAAGATTAACTTTTTAGTTGTATGTAAAATGTAATTTAGGTTATGTTTGCTTTTTTAGGTTATGTACCTCATCTGCAGCTGTGGTTCATGTAGTAACAATGGTGAAATCAGCTGATCATTCTTGCTTTAGAGTATAAATGAACCATTTTGCGTATTGGTTACAGGTGTGGCAATGTGATCATTTCCATGCAGTGGTTGGAAAAAAATGACAAAACTTGAGATCCCTTGGTGTCAGTAGCCATATACAAAATCCCATCAAAATCGGACCACAGGTGTCTGTCACTCTGTACACACACAGCTTCAATTCAAAAACCACTTTTTGGGGTTTTAGGGGGGACCAAAACAGATATTTATACCCAAAATTCAAACTCGAATAAGGAGAGAAAGTAAAAACAATGTGCTTTTTAACTTTTTTATTTTCTGCAAAAAAACAACACAGAATAGGAACTTTTTCAATACTGAGAACATATTCTCAACGATACATGGTATTACTTAAAATCTAAACTGTCTAGATGAACAGATAATATGAACTTTTAGTTGGTTATTACCAACCATCATAAAAAATTGCATAAAGGCTTGTCTGAACACAATACATATTTTCAAACTGACCATGGCTGCACAAAATAATACTATTACTTAACATCTTAAATGTCAAGATGAAAATATGAATTTTTATTTGGTTATAAATTACTATTCATAGAAAATTGTATATAAATGCATGTCTGAACACAAAACATATCTTAAAACCGATCATGACTTGGTACAATACATGACTATTGCTTAACATCCAAACAGTAAAAGATGATGATAAGAATTTTTAGTTGGTTATAAAACACTATTATAGAAAATCGGATAAAGACATGTCTAAACACAATAAATACATATTTAAAAACTGACCATGGCTTGTACGATACATTACTTTTACTTAACATCTTGCTAACTGTCAAGATGAATGTTTAGTTAACAATAACTACTATTGGATAATCAGATTAAGACATGCCTGAACACAGTACATATTTTTAAACTAACCATGGCTTGTTACAATACAATATACTATTATTTTCCATCTTTACTAAAGATGGAAATAATAATTTTTAGTTGGTCATAAAATACTATTATAGAAAATTTGCTATCATGTTTGCACACAAAACATAATTTAAAACTGATCATGGCTTGCTAAGATACATCATCTTTAACTGTCAAGATGAAAATAGAAATGTTTAGTTAATAATAACTACTAATTGTAAATCGGATTAAGACATGTCTGAACATATTACATATTTTTAAACTCACCATGGCTTGTTACAACACAATACTATGACTTAACATCTCAATTGTCAAGATGAAAATATGAATTTTTAGTTGGTTATAATTACTATTATAGAAAATCGGATATAAAGACACGCCTGAACAGAAAACATACCTTAAAACTAATCATGACTTGGTACAATACATGACTATTACTTAACATCTTTACTGTCGAGATGAAAATCTGAATTTTTAGTTGGTTATAAATTACTATTATCGAGAATCAGATATAAAGACATGTCTAAACACAAAACATTTTCTTAAATTCACTATGGCTGGGTACAATAAATGACTATTACTGAACACAATACATGAGCAATACTTCAAATGTAAAATGCGAAGATGAAAAATTATTTTTTTAGGTAATAATATTTAATAAGTACATAGATCATGTATTGTATGAGCATAATACAAATTACCCTAATTGACTTAGGCAATTGAGCATTTTAGTCTTAAAACTAGAGATGTGTCGATTATAATTTATCAGCAAGATAAGCTGTAATTTAACCTATCCACTACAAATGTTTTTTTAAACCCTGGCCTAATGCCATCTATACCAAAATCATTATTTGTGATGTGGAGAGTGAATAGGGACCTCTTGTCGGGAATTTTTGATTTTGAGTTATATATATATTTGAATTCCTTATTACATTCCGAATCACTTGATGCAAGTCCCATGCATCTACGATTTTTTTGTTACAGTTATAGGACTTCAAAATTTTGTTATGGAAAAGGGTGGTTTTGAGAAAACCAATTTAGAAAATTTCAATAACGAAAAAACAGATTTTTTTGCATTTAAGAAACGATTTTGGCATCAAAAGAAAGCTTATAATGAGCTCTTTGGAGGTAAAAAAATGTTTTATGCATGTCGTAAAAATTGCATTTCCGAAAATGGACCTCTTGTCGGCTCTATGTTATTTCTCCATAAGATAAAAAAAGATAATCTTGTCCGGATCGCAAAACTTGTGATTTATTTTCTTCTCCGGACAATGAACTTTGTTGTAGTTCTCTAAATTTCCTCTAGAATGCAGGACAATTCATGTTTTGGACTGGTCTGTTTACAAAGTGAATATTACAAATGGGACCTCTTGTCGTTATGGCGAAATAACATTGAGCGACCTTGTAGGCCTACCTTTTCTCAGGCCGTGCAGAGGCTGACAAAATTATTTATTTCAACCTTTTAAGGATTCAATTCTTTATTTTAACTGATGCTGTCCAGTTCTATGATAAATGAGGTATAACAATAGATATAAAACCGAACTGGCGAATTTCGATATTTTTGACCTTTTTTACTTATGTCGGTCGTACTGAAAGTTTTGCATCGCCAACAAGAGGTCCCTTTTCGGTTTCCTCATCACATTTATTAAATGCTTTGTCAAAAGAATGACTAAAATATACATTAAATGTTAACAAAATGTTTATTTTTAAGCATTTGGAAAATCCTAACTTGCACCTAACATTTACACTTAGTTTCAAAGATCAACAAAACAATGTGTCACAAAATTAATGGGCTGAATTTGTAGGTAAATTGTTTGATAAGTTATCTATCATTCCATCAATGGTATCAGTATCAAAAATCAATAAATTTCAAAACCGGCACATCTCAACTTAAAACTAATAACAAAACATAAAACATTATACATAGTAACACATTATAAAAGTATAAAAAATAGCCACAATATGCACAAAAGGCACTTTCATTTCTAATGCTTGTGTAGTGGCTTTACACCTAATTAACAACAAAAACACTTGCTCTCTAGTCCAAAGAAAACCTTGTAAACAAAACACATTTCACTTATTTTATCTAAGTTCGAGCATCAATAGGAAAATTCAACAAATCATTACACTTTATTAGTTGTAATGGCACTTCGTGGCTAGGCTATCACATCTGAAAAAAACAATACAGAAGATCAAATTTAAGAGCAATGTCAATATAAACTTAATACTTTGTAAATTAGGCCTACTAAATTAGCTAAATTACAACTCAAATCTCAGAAAAAGTGTCTAAATTTGACCCTTGTTGTATTATATGTATTGTATTGTACTATAACTTTTTTTCCTCGAGGGCCACATTGTACATTTTTTGGAGGGAAGGCAGACCAGTCATATTTCAGAGCAGAAAGCTAACCTCTTCCCCATCAACCCACAAAGTCGTCAACTAATTAGGAGGTTATTAGGGGCTCTTTTAGATTTCAGATTAGTGGCCACCATAACCCACAACCTATCAAACTGTTGTTTGTTGACGGACCCCTATACAGAGGGTGGCCAAATTATAAGACTAGACGTATGTACTGTAGTTTAATGCATTTTTGACTTAACTTAGAATTTGGTTAGAAAACATGTATAAACTACAATAAAACTGCCTAATTTGGTATGAACTACAGTATAAAACCAATTTATATTATGCTTGAATGTTTTTGTATTGATTCAACAGCTGATTCAGTGCTGCCAATGCCATCAGAATCAATACAAAAACATTCAAGCATAATATATATTGATTTTATACTGTAGTCCATACCAAATTAGGCAGTTTTATTTTAGTTTATACATGTTTTCTAACCAAATTTTAAGTTAAGTCAAAAATGCATTAAACTACAGTACATACATCTAGTCTAATAATTTGGCCACCCTCTGTATGTACCCTTATTACGAGTCCCATTTTATTCACCCACGGAATTTAAGTCACAATGTTTACTGCTAATTTTCCCCTATTGAGAAAAAAAATTGCAAGTGAGAGACATGTACTATACTCATATTTAAACATATTATCTAGCCAACCTGGAGACTGGGAATTGTACATGATTGTACATAATACTTTTGAAGAACGGGAAAAAGATAGTGAATTGCACTTGAATCTGGTATGTCCCAAGAGTTTCATCAATTCCTATGGCCGAACCTCCACTCATTGACGGAGTTCCAGTGGTTCTCTTTTAATGTCTTAAGGAAATTGAGATCACCAGTGAAGTGTTGCCATGATCAAAAGAGGTTATAACGGTATCGCAAATAAATTTTAGTTCAATTTTAACTTCAAGCCTTGCCATATGCTAAAGTAGATTCTACTTTCACAAATTGTATCAAGAAAATCTGTAAAAGCACTCTGTATTTTTACTGCAGAAAATTATAAATCGTATTGATGGTCCATGTCAAGGGTCTCGAACCTACAGACCATGGGCCACATCTAGCCCTTGATCAGAATTCTTTTGGCCCACAGAAATCGAGCATTGCCTGATGAAAAAACTATTTTTTATCGTATCGCGATTGCGGCAACACTTGTACCATATCACTCGGTCTTTGCGATCGCGATACAATAAAAAATAGTTTTTTCATCAGGCAATGCTCGATTTCTGTGGGCCAAAAGAATTCTGATCAAGGGCTAGATGTGGCCCATGGTCTGTAGGTTCGAGACCCTTGACATGGACCACCAATACAATTTATAATTTTCTGCAGTAAAAATACAGAGTGCTTTTAGAGATTTTCTTGATACAATTTGTGAAAGTAGAATCTACTTTAGCATATGGCAAGGCTTGAAGTTAAAATTGAACTAAAATTTATTTGTACGTCAAGTACTTCTGACACTTCCTAAAATGACTTCAGATCAGTTAGCCTAATTTCAAATTAACTTTGCCACTTTGATTCATTCACTTTGCAATTAATAACATGAAAAGCAAGGAAAGACACGAAAGGAGAGAGAAGCCTGCAGTTATAAACTAGTGTGTTTGTCTAACCTTTTATTTTATATAATAATTATTGTGTTGTATGCATGTGTATGTAAAACACCCTATATAGTAGAAAATTGTCTGTTAATTAGTGTTTGATTTGACTAGTCATTAGTTTTTAAGTTAATAATATTTAATGGAATAAAGAAATGTAAATAGCTAATCCAGGAGAATGCTTAGTGATGTAAGTTACCAAAAAGGTTCTTTGTAACACTTAAAACTTCCTCAAAGACTTACTTTCTTTGGGTAGAATGATGTAGGAGGTCTTACAACTCCATTTCCTCACTGTCATTAAAGGCTGCTTCACCCTGTCTTGGTGGCCAGGAGTTTTCCTCCACCTGAAAAATGTGTACAAGATTATAATTTTAAAATAAGAAAAAGTATAAAAGTTACCTAAGTAGAAACATGAATCAGTTTTAAACTGAAAAGATTTCACATATTTATTTCTTGTAATAATTGGGAGATGCTAAATGAAAAAAAAAAAACAATTTTATAGCTGGCAACATATTGTTATGCAATAGCAAATGACTATGTTTAAATATTTTCGTAAAAAGCTGAGATAGTCTTTCATCATCTAAGTCATAATTGAGAATATCTACCAATAATACAATTAACAAAGTCTTCACGACGTCTTGGGATCTGGAATCAGACACTCGCTTCAGAAAGCACATTTAAAATATAACTAGAAAAAACAACAAAAAAACAGCCCACAGAAGTTCTGTATAGTAGTAGAACACAGATGAAAAAAAGAATGGACATTGAGTTAAATTTCAGCAAGAATATAGAAACTTCAAAAAGAGTAGGCGTAATAGATGACATTTTTTGCAAAAACTGGAAAACAATTAATTCATGTAAAAATCACGCTTTCACATCTTACTGCCCAAATAGTGTGGATATCAATTGTTAAAAACTAGCAATAACATAACACCATCTACTCAGAATATTGTGGAAAATTTAAAAATAAATAATTTAATTTATATTATGAAAATTGAGTGGTGGTAAAAACTGACATTTTATCACCGGAACTGGTAATACCGAGAGATGCCTTCAAGTAGGGACACATCACTAGTTGTGGGAATGACAAAATACCTCCAACCCTCTTTAAAATCCCACAATGCTGATAAAAACCAAAAGCACGTATAATAAATGCTTCTTTTGTTCATATAGTTTACCCTTATACATTGAAAATTTCATAAAGTAAAAAAGCCCATTTTTGAGAAAAGAGAGAGAGCTGATCCTTTCCATTACCAATTCAATTGTCAATTATAAAAGAATGCCGGGATTTTGATGTGTAGCCAATTTCAACAAATTACATGTACTGTTTTGTCCTTTTGGTTAACTAATTTTGTTTCATACTGTCCCAAATGCATGAGTCATTAATACCGCACAAAAATAATGGAATTTTTTATCTTCAACAACTAACTGATGGTGAACCAATACTAGATTTTGAGTAAAGCCTATGACCAATAACAGTTTTTCCCAGCTTAGATGCCCTAAATATCCTGAAGGCTTAGGTTCTAAGAATTTAAAAAAAACAATGTTTCTATACTTACAGGAATTAGAGGAACGAAAAACGGGTCAAGGCACAGCTGCCTGAGGGTCCGTGGCCTTTCAGTAGTGGGGACTGAACCCCCCTCAGACATGTCTTTCCTAGAAGGTATTGGACTTGGCTCCCTTACTTGCGATTGATGCAGCATGTACCTTCGGTACTTATCTGAAAGACGAACATACAAAATATTTATGAAATATTCAAGTGCAAAATAAGAAAGCAGTGCAGAACAAAAAGAAATTAAGTCAAATTTGAGTAAAAATTCTAAATCAAATTAAGTTTACAGAAACTCTAGGGAAATTAATAATATGAATGATATCTGAAATTTTATTCTGATTAATTAAAAGAAAATGGCAGAGCATCAAAATAAGAACAAAGTTAACAATTTAAGTTTGCTAGCAAGATTCAAGGAAATGCATGATAGAGATTTATAGATATCAGTTGGAGAAAAAGGTTATGAACCAAATCAGTACATCCTAGCTCCTTAATTACTTTAATTTTCTTTATTTAAGTAACATTGTCAAAAATCAAGTGGGGCTCAGGGGTGTTTTTTGTTACTATGGAGCTGCAAGTTTGATGCATCTGGTATATTAAATAAAAAAAATAGCTACCTCTTCATGGGACACCTTATGTATTAGCTTACTACAAATATTTTTCAGAACAAACATTCAAAAAATGTTCCAACCTAAAGCAACTAATACGAACAAAGATTTGGTATTCATCTTGGTGAATAGTATTCTAAGTTTAGTATTATATTATCTAAGATGAATATTTAGCCAGGGTGAATGATTAATGAAAAAGTGCAATGGAGATTATCCCAGGTTTAGTGAGTCTTCCACATAAGACTTCCAAAGAATAAGCTGCAAAGTTTACAGACTTTAATTAGAAACGACAATCAAAGAACTCAAGTAACCAATAAGGTGTATATATAGTTTAATTTTGTTCTTGAAACTTGGTTCACAAACTATTTACGATTTAACGCTGTAAGCTACATTTTTTCGATGTTTTAATAACAGTAAAAGGGGGTAAAGCAGGAATTCAAACAGTAAAATCTACATTAGATTAAGCCGTCTCCCACTTTGCTCTAAGTTAACTGTGTTTCACACAATAAATGAAATGAATGACTGAATGAATAATTTGAATAGATAATAAGCATTTGATTGCAAAACACATAAATATAAACACATATAAACACATTAAAACATATATAATAGAATGTAAATAAATTAAAATGTTAACTAAAAATAAAGATATTTCTATGCCTAAACTACACATTACTGACTAAACTACAAACTAATCAATTATCTATACTACAAATTAGGATAAAAGATCCTGAAATAATCAAACTCCAAATTAAACCTCTAATGAGTTGAAACTACTCGTAATTACAAGCAACGTGAGAACAATTATTAACGAGTAAGAAACAAAATAACATAAGAAAGATTAACGAGCAAGAAATTTATTTCAACTAACCAAGCAAGACAATCAATGCCAGTCCAGCTAGCAAGAAAACAGTTATGATTAGTAGAAATAGAACCCTGTATTATTAGTTGTGATACACCATTTTAAGATAAAATTTATTAGTTGAATACTGGAAATACATTATACAGGGTGAGGGAGTGAAACAACATGATTTTGATACCAGCTGACAAGGAATTTGGGGCTATTAGAGTTTTGGGGAAATGGCCATAGGCGCCTAGACAAGTGGAAATTTCAGTAGCCATGGAGCGTTTGATGAGTGCACAACACACGTTTGCTGTAAAGACATATTACAAAAACGTGGATATAATGGTTTGTGCTCAGCGCACTTTCAGTTGTGAGTTCAGTTTAACGCCGCAGTCTCCCCCATTAAGGCAAGCTATCCTCCTTTGGGTAAACGACTTTCAATCCACTGATAGCACGACAAAGCGCTATATGATTGCAAACGCTAAAAATCTTTATGGCCTGATTACAATTCATAATTCAACTAAGTATGCAAAACCAAGTACCTACGCCATTTCACTGACACTGTATTAAAAAAAAATATTTTTAAGGAGAAACATTAATTACCACTCTAGTACTTAGAATTTATGTTAAAACAACTATCCATTTTTTTTACAAAAATTATTTGTGATTTTTTTAAATTGTGTGGTTTCACTGCCTTGCCCTGTATCTAACAAATACCCCCACATAAACAATCCTTCACAGAAGCGAATTTCCAATTGCTCAGTTGGACTTTCATTAAAATATTTTATTTATTTATTTATTTAGATTTTTTCCTGTTTAAATGGCATACATTTTTATGAGTAATTAGATATGCAACCACAGGTAAGGTTTTTCCCTAGGGTGCTAGGCACGAGCCCAGCATTGTTTTTCACATTACTTGAGACTAGACCTAGGGGTTGAGGTATTGTCACTTGGATCAATCCATTGGTGATTGGGGGGTTTGAACCTGGGACTTCAAGGCCTGAAGTCCCAGCTCTACCATTTATCCTGTTGATAACATGGGAATTTTTAAGTTAAAGTTGTGGGAATTCCCTCCGAAACTAACAGACGTAATAGAAAAGCGCTTTAGCATACTAAATTATTAGTTTCTTAAAAGCTCTACAAAATGGTTTTGAGAGATTGCACAATTTTATGTTTTTGGGGTAAAAAATGGGAAAAGCCAATTTTGACCCCATAAGTCCTGTTCTAAGTCTGATAATTCTGGTTGGCGAAGTCGATAAAATAAATGTAATTTTACAAATTTGCTAGGTGTGCTCACACCCCCCCCCCCCCTTAAATCCTTCCCCACCCGCAGGTTGAGAAAGGCTGTTTCATTGTTGATTTACTTATGTTATAATGGCTATTTATGAGCCTTATATGTCAAGAATATGAGAACGTATAACTACTGTATTTGTAAAAAATCATTTACTCCTTCTCCTGCCAGCCTCACGCATCGAAAGAGGGTAATTTTCCTCGTCTGAAGAACTTTCAACATTGGAGTGTGGGTTGTTGTTTTTTTCCGACCGCTTTCTGTCGGACGCTGTAAAATATATTGAAAAGGAAACGAAATGTATTAGTATGTAATTTGGTAAGCTGGGGGGTAGCATAAGCAAAGAGTATTTTTAAGAGAATAATAAAGAAACGGATACAAGCCAAGTTTTTCAAACCCATTCTTTAAAAACAACAAAGGAGCTGAATGTACAAAGCAGTAAAATGTAAAATGAAAATCAGCAACAAAAGTGAATGTGTAGCACAGTTACACAAAGTGTTATTGTAAAGAGTAACTTCTTTCAATATATTCCGATAAAAGAGTCGAATATCAGGGTCCCCACTCAAACTTATAAAGTGAAATTTGCAGTTTCCACATTTCATATTTTTGTGAATATGATAAGGGTCTAAGACTTAGGCCGGGTACAGCAAAACTGTAGTCCCCCAAACTCAGTCAGACGCCAGCCCAATAGAATGTGATTCCGATTTCTGACCAAGTTAAAATACGAAATTGATATGAACAAAACAATTTCAATTCAACCAAACAGGTCTATTAAATAATTAACTGAACAATATTTGAAAGTGAAATAAAAGATTCATACACAAATAATAACTCTCAATTTATTATAAATTTAATTGAATATTTGCAATGATGTTAGGGACTGAAAAAATACAATAAATTGCCGTTCATGTTTTCCTACAGGGATTTTAATGATTTTTTATTTTTTGTACATGAATCTTGGAATATCTAAGCTGTTTGTAAATTTGAAAATTCACGATGCCATCTTAAATTGTAGATCAGATGATCATTACGTGGCCGTAATCAAATGTGTGAGTGAGGTCAAATACTTAGGTGTGATTATTATTGATACGATACCTAAAATTATTTGGCCACAAAAATGTTTTCAAAATTACATAATAGTTTTATATAGCCCGAACCTTGTAGCTTTGTAGTTAACAAACATTTAGAAATCTCACTGACAAATTGTTAGTTTGTTAGTCCGGCTATGGCTGGATTAAACAATATCTTGTGTCTATATATTGAGTGCTGGAGTGAGGTTAGTAGTGTTAGGAAGTAAGTATGTGTGTGTGTGTGAGAGAGAGAGAGAGAGAGGGAAAGAGAGAATGGTTGACAGTATCATTCAATTTTTAGCAAATCTAATAATACCGGTCAGAGTTGAACCGTAATACCGGATGAGTTTCTCATGTCAAGGAGCTATTACCGTAGTTGACATGGAAAGACCTAAACCTAACACCAATTTATTTATTTTTTTATTTTGATGTCCACAGTAACCCAAAACACTATTCAAGTGTGTATCTATATTATATATTTATAAATACAAGGGAGCGACAAAAAAACACAATCTATTTTCTTCAGCACACTGTTCGGCGACAGGTCTTCTGAGGGTGGTGGAAGGGCCCATAGTTATAGAGCGTGGTCACCTGAGCAACATGCGTTATCGAGTCATTTAAATAAACGGTATCAGCATTCTGACACATACTTTCTCCCATAAGTTTGTCAACAACCTTTATCATGTGTAAACGGTGAGAGTAAATATACGGAAATGGGATTTGTACAATTTTGATCAGAATTTAAAGGACTATAACATACTAAATTTTTATCAAAGATGTTCGAGCCAATTTTAGGAAATCCGATTTTCCGTTATTTTATGGGGTTTTTATGGGGAAATAACATAATTTACAATAACTTTTGAACCGTAATTTTTACAGAAAAGGGATTTGTACCATTTTGATTAGAATATAAAGGACTATAACATACTAAATTTTTATCAAAATCGTTCGGGCCATTTTTGGGAAAATTCTATTTTTCCGTTATTTTATGGGGTTTTATGGGAAAATCCCCATTTAAAATCAAAATTTCTAAAAAATAAAAAAAAAAACTATCAAAATTGTAAGGACCATAACCTACTATGTTAAATCAAAACTGGATTTTTGTCTTAAATCCTATTTTTCGTTATTTTATGTGGTTTTTATGGGAAAATAACATAATTTACCATAACTTTTGAACCGTAATTTTTACAGAAATGGGATTTGTACCATTTTGTTCAGAATTTAAAGGGCTACAACATACTAAATTTTAATCAAAATCGTTCGGGCCATTTTTGAGAAAATCCGATTTTTCCGGTTTTTTATGGGTTTTTATGGGAAAATCCCCATTAAAAATCAAAATTTCAAAAAAATGAAAAAAACGC